TGAACAGTTCTGTAGCAGCCAAACTAGTCCTACCATAAACACATGAATCTACATTTCAAGATGAAATACTGACTTTTATCCTTTGCTGAGCTACTTTGTAAAACTATACAATTTGATTTTCTAGGCAATGAATGATAAAGTAACAAAAAATATGCTTTTGTTCCACTCTACCAATACAGAGTTGCATAAAAACATAATCACACAATGCCCTTGGGTGAATTTGCTAGAAAATAATGATCACATTTACAGTAAATCAACAATTCGTAACCTGATCACAATAATTTGGTGCAGAAAATACAGTAATAAATTTACCATCATGCTCAATCTCAAAACCTTCGTCTTTTACTTCTTTAAAGGATAAAATAAAATGATGATCAAGACTTTCACTTTCTATCCAGTACCCATAATAAAAAAATAAGCAAATAATGAGAAACTCAATTTGGGAAGTAGAATTCATTCATAGGAAGAAAGCTCATCACATCAATTCTAACATGTTGTGTTCCTTTTTCACGCTGGACTACTTACTGAGGAGGTAGGCCACTTCTAAGAAGGTACTGCTCTCGGCCAACTCCTCAATTGGGTAGCCCCTGTATCGAAGGATCCCTGATCCTCATCAATATAGGAAATTGATGAGCGTACAGGAGCTGTGTTCAAATAACCAGGGTCATACACCTTGAGACCCTTGTCATCCTTCCCGGTCGTTATCTGTAAAAACAAAATTCAACCCAAAATGCTCAGAATTGGAATATATAAATTCAGATCAGAGAAATCAAAAGGGAGGGTAAATACAGACCTTCTTCAAATCAACCGCTTTAACGGTGCCTTCTGCGGAGACAGGGACGTGGTACTTCTTCCTAGTGCGTTCGTCGATGATAGTCAAGGAACCGCCAAGGGAGGCGGCGGTCTGAGCAGAGACGCACCATGGCTCAATGATCGGCGGAGAAGAGAGGTCGGAGTGCGGCGATGCTGCTAGATGAGCAGCGAGTATGGCCAAAACGTTGTGGAACAAATGTCCGGTTAATTTCTTTGAACAGTATAAAAGCTAAAGGAACAAAACACATTACAACTCTAAAACAGATTAGTCTGAAGTTATATAAAATCTCGTATATACCACTTAAGTTATACACAAATTACATGTGGGGAAAATGCCCCATAATCCTTAAAATGGATTAGGGTGGAAATGAAAACAAGTACGTATATAAAAGCTATGGTTTTGCTTCTGGGATTTTTCTTTATGTCTTTCATACTAGATTGGGTTTTTATAATCACAGATGTTGCTCAAATTACTAAAATATCTTTAATAACACCTTTCACAATCCTAGTTCATTAATAATATTTTGGTAATTTCAATTTTTACAATATCTCCTTTTTTTAAGATAGACGAGACATGCATAGTTAAAGTACTAATGATAAATCCTTTTTTAATTATAAATCCTTTTTAACTATCAATGAATTCATAAAATGCTAAATGAGTTGAGAGAGGACAAAATTAAAATTTTTTTAATTTTCTCACTTCTGTTGCACCTTCCTAAACCCAACTTAATTCGTACTCGCAAGGAAACATAGGCAATTGCCAAGTGGTATTTTCGTTGAAATTATACCTCTTGTTATGGCTGTTTGTAGTTTCCTTTGTATTTCTCTTTTAATTTGGGTATATTTTATTATTTTTAGCATATTCATGAAATATTTCATCTTTAATGATAAATACCAGATGCTAGAAGTCCTCCTAATCCCTCTTCTAAGCATCATCACTCTTCATAAGCAAGTCAACCAACACTCCAAAAAATAATGAGCTAGTTTGTAATTCTTTATCTGGATGGTTTTTGTTAGCTTCATATATTTTGTTAGTAGGCTGTTCTTGCACTTCAACTTGCAAATACAATAAATAAGTTTGTTAAATATGAAGTCTTGTAATGCTGGATGTACCTAGCTTTTTGAACTTGTGAAGAGTTGCACTTTTGGAATCAATATTATAGTATATTGTGTTCTAGTAAGTTCATTATGCTTCTTAATATGTGGCTTAAATTTAAGTTCACAATATATCGCTTAATTTTGTTATCTAGAACTATCTAGTCATTGATATAAATGTGTGCCTATTTATCCTTTTTATTTGCTTTTTTTTTTTTTTTTGAATAGATAAATATGAATGGCATGATGATTGGAACTTTAATAAAATTATACACACTGTGGTTTTATTAAAATTGTCAAATATATGCTTAAGTTGATTATTGGTTAGTAATGTATGCATCACTATTTTTTTTTTCTTTTTTATCAACATGTAGGCGTCACTCTCTTTCTTTGTATCCTTTAACCATTTTTTTCTTTCTAATCCACTTTGTTTCCTAGTAGGCTGACCCTGTAAACATCTTTTTCTTCCAATTTACAAATAAACATTAAGATGTTGGTCCATTTTTCTTTTCTTTGTTGATTCCTCTCAATAAAATTTGCTATCTTATACTAAATTACTTATGGATGTGTGCATGCAGTCCGAGTACATTTTGGGATATAAATTAAAGAATGTTATATCTTTGCATGTCCCAAGAGTCATGTTCTATTTGATAAAATGCTCACGTTGATTTAAGTTTGGTTAAATATCTATATTGATAGATGTAATGAAGGAAAAGGAAAACAAAGTGAGATTCTTACTTTAAAGGCTAGAACTACGATACCTAACTCTTTTGTGAAAATATTGCAATTCTTGTTTATGACTTCTTCTCCTCCAATTCATTTGAGGGGTTTACTTCTTTTTTTCTTTTTTTCTTTTTCACATTTTTGATAGACATGTGTAAAATGAAGTCTTAAATTCGTTAGAATTGTTGTAATTCTTGGTGTAAGTGCTGGCCAATTAGATTTATGAACTCATCGAATTACATTATGTTTGTTTTGTCAAATTTGTTTCTATTGGATGGATTGTTCTTGTTATTTAGTTAATGAAAGTAGGTTCTGTGCATTCCAACAACAATTCAAGTGGATTTGTGAATTTTATGAAATTTGTTTTGTGCATTTGGACAATAAAGGGATCTAGATATAGCGGCATTATCGTTTTTCCAAAAAAAAAAAAAAAAAAAAGAGTGAATTGCCTTATTCACAACAAACAATACTGAAACAGTCATGACGATTGAGTGTCGAGCTAACATATACTTTTTGACATAGAGAGCCACAAACACATCTACAATTATTTCCCACTGACAGACATTCAGGTCAGTTTATTTCTTCTCTGCCGTTTCCTTCCCATCAAAATAAAAATAAAGCCTAAACACCTGATCTAGCAAGCTGCCGCCTACAGGCATTTGAGATAGACACCTCACCTAACTTGTCTGCATCGGGTGACACCGTCCCCTCTTTCAGTGGCATATAGTGCCTCAGCCATACCCCAGTATATACCTGAAATTTCAAAGGCAAAACGGAGAATCAGGAAGTCCTGATTTTCCGGGGACCCAATTTCAAAACCATAAAATAGAATTCACACTTCAAATTTTTTTAAAATTCATTTTGATCACAGTAGCTTTGGTAGTTTTTCATTGCTGGAAAAAAAAAGGGGAATGAGAAGTAAACCATACTATCAGATGGAAACCACACATCATTGGTCAGATTAGACAACTTAACTTACCCAGGCACCTTTTTAGATTAGTGTGTTAGCATTTTATGACAATCAAGATAAGGGGACAATGATTATTTTACACCAATGAACGACATCGAAGGTGCTTATCACTTACTTCCAATAGATTTTTGAATCATGTTTGTTTCACTATCTATAAAAACTAACCTGTTTTGGTCTCATTATCTTTGTGTCGGGATCATCTAGAGACTCTCTCCAATGTGCTAGGTAACCGGCCATTCGAGGAAGTGCAAATAAAACAGTGAAGTACTCTGGCGGACATCCCATTGCACTACGAGAGAATTTAGAATTTCGTCATTAGTTTTATGCTTTAAGAAAAACTAACAATATTGTATGCATTCATCCAGCTTTACAGTATAAACATTGGAAAGTTAATGATATCATTACCGATGCATTAATCCCGAATAGAAATCAACATTTGGATAGAGCTTCCTCTTAATAAAGTACTCATCAGATAATGCAGTCTTCTCCAAAGCAACAGCAACCTGTAAATCACAAAACGAAAATAAGAAAAGATCATTACAGAATTCAATGAATTCAATTAACAAAAACCTAACGAGGTTAGTCATGTTTTTTTTTTCCCCCTTTCTACTTATGGTCAAGTTTCATTATTCTTTGTTATCTTGGTTATAAACTAATAAAACATATATAGATGCAGGAATTCCATAAAACTCAAAATATAAATAACCATGTTTGATCCTAATAAAAACAATTCTACACATAGAAATACATAAAAACAGAGACCGTAAGGAAGGAGGAAAAGCATCATTATTAAATTTGAAAGAGCAAGAGAAATACTCTGCCTAATTACTTTTTTCTCCATATATCATGCATTTACATATTCCCTATCCTTAAAACATGGAAAATGCTTTGAAACAATATTTTGAATTGTCTATACTTTTCAGTCGCCAATGACCATGATTCAAGCTAAATTCAACTTTCTATTTCATGCATTAATGGTAAGCATCATAAAGCTGATAACAGAAACTATCATCTT